CCGCTTCGTCGCTGGATACTTAATCTGGCAACCCCCCACCGCGTCGTCGCTTCACCCTTCAAACGTCGGGTCGTACTCGGACTCGAACGGACACCGCCCGGCCTCCGCCACTCGTCGTTCCCGGCCTGCCCTCCGATTCGTCGGTGTTTCGCCGGACGAGCTGCAGCTGCAGCCGCTGTCGTTGCTCTTGGAGTCGTGGGCTCGACTTGGTATCCGCCCCCGACCACTTTCATTTGTTTCTCTCGTTGTGCAAGACAGCTAGTCAGGGCCTGAGGTGAGTCATCGATACGATACGATCCGGTATCGGGTATCGTATTGGATCTGTCATTCTTGTTCAATTTTTTTGGTCTCTTGTCCAGTCCACTGACTTTTACTTTCACTTTCTTTTCAGTTGTTTCTTTAGATTGCCCTTTGAAGTGTACTGTCAGGTGTGTTTCTCCTTGTGATTATTATTTATTGGTTCATCACCAATTTTTTATGGTTCATCACTGACCACTTTTGCTTTTTTGACCATTCATTTAGGTTTTTGTCTATTGTCAGGTGAGTATTTATTTTGTTTTATTTCTTTTTCTTAATTAATTTTTCTATTATCATTATGATTTATTGGTTCTTCACTATTTTTTTATGGTTCATCACTGACATCATTTGTTTCTTTTCCCATTTATTCAGGGTTGTCTCTAGTGTGAGGTGAGTATTTGTTTTTTTATTTATTTTTCTTATTGAATGGATTACTATTTTTAATCATTCAATCAAATGTCAGATCAATCTCAACTGACATATCATTGGACTTTTTTTTTTTCAGACATAGAATAGTGATTCAAACTCTTCACCAAGGACCAACAACACTGCAACTTCCAGAAACAACGGTTTCACAATCTCTACTCAATCATGGCCACCTCCTCAACCCCTGCTTCCAGGTCTCAGCCCAACACCCCTCCTCCAGGAACCCCATCAGCATCTCGGCCTCCATCTCGACATTCAACGAGGATTACTACTCCAGTCCGAAATGACCCTAATTTTGTCATGCCCAGCAACGATTGTCGCAAGGCCCTTCCCCCTTCTTCAGCAACTCAGACGTCTGCAAGACAAACGCGTAAACGTCCCCAAAGGCCATCGTCCGCTTTGGCTTCAACCTCGACACGTGCCGCCCGCAAGACCAAGAAGGCCAAGGCATCTCAAACGCCCAAGAAACACAAAAGCAAGAGGGTCGTTGTATCCAGCGGGGATTCCAATTCTGAATCCGACTCAGAAGCTTCATCTCAATCTGAACCTGAAACGCACGGGACGGCAAAGATAATTGACTTCACTCAGGATTCAGATGATGCAAACCGCCAATTCAAGCTTCACAAATCCAAGGCACAACCAAAGGATTCCGAGTTTGACAAGATAGAGGAGTATTTTCACCCCCCTGTGTTTGAAGAAGGCGACATAAGTTTTTTTATGTTTTTTTATTTGTTTTCTTTTACACAACTGACATTGTGGTTTGAATTTTCATAATTTTTTAGACTGAACCATTGTCTTACAAATGTAAATGGTGCGATAACCCTTATCGGAAAGGGGTAGGAACTCGTGCAAACCTCGTCAAACATCGGGACGGTAACGAGAACCGAGAACCATGCCCAGGACGAGCCAGGGCAATTGCGGCAGGGTGTAAGCTCCCAATGACTGTGAAGGAGAAAAAAGCACAGAAGAACGAGCCCGAGCAGGTTGCAATGCGGAAAATGGTGGACGGCAACAATTTCGACAACAACACCTTCAACCAGATCCTCGTCCTCTGGATTATTCGACATTCATTGCTGTGGCTTCGAATAGAGGATTTCATTTTAGGTATAGCATTCAGATATCTCCGACATGTCGCCAAGCCATACACCCGCGTCTGGGCGGCCACCGAGGCACATTGGCTGTACTGCCACTTGCAGAGTAAGGTGTTGGACACACTCCAGGTGAATTTATTTCGTCCTCTTGATCAAGCAAATAGTTGGCTGATTGCTCATCTTAGTCAAATACCTCAAAGCTCAGCCTGATCCATGATGTGTGGACGACCAAGGGGAATCGAAATGCGTTTCTAGGAATCACCGTGGCTTATATCGACGACAGTTGGACATTCAAGGTCTGTCACCTGTCGGTTAAGTATATCGCTTGGACACATAAGGGCAAATATCTGGCTATTCCATTGGCGAACATCCTCCTCAAATCCCTCTTGAACAATAAGATAAGTATTTCTGTTATTATGTATCAAACTTTGTATGAAATAGCAGCTAGCTGATTAGCAATTATTTTGGTTGTTGTATTTACATCATAGCCCAAACTACTGACTCAGGTTCAAATAACCTCACAATGGCTGTCGAAGTCGACCGATTGCTCAAGAAGGACGCAAATCACAATCAGGCCATCTCAATCGCCAAGAATCATATCCGGTGCTTTTGTCACAAGCTCGCCCTCATCCTCAATGCCGGCCTCAAAGCAATCTCAGTACCCCGACGCGATCAAATACCCACTGGCCCCGTGTTGGGTTTTGTCCCCGGCCTGTGTGCCATATCCAAGGAATCATCTGACTCAGGCCAAGTGGACCCATTGGCCAACCCCTTCGATACCAATGGCTTTGTTGACGATTCAGACTCCGACTGCAGTGATGATGAAGGACCAGAACTGAGGGAGGCCAATGTTATTGAGAAAGTATTGAAGAAGGTTAGTTATGACCTTCTTTTTATTATATTTTTCATCTCGAGAAGTTCACCCTGACCAAGATCTATCTTGTTAAAATAGGTTGATTATGTGATCCAACGAATCACTTCCTCATCAGCCAAGCGAGCCGAATTCAACACATGGGCCAAAAATCTCGACTACTCGGGCCCCACTCCGATTGCCGGTTACGGTATCCGCTGGGATATCAAGTTTGAGAGCCGTGAGCAAGGGTATATTGCAAGGAACGTAATCAACAAACTGATCGAGAACAAGCGAGACCAACAAGAACATGAGGGAGGCAAGAACCACTTCAATGAATATGAAATCACACGAAGCGACTGGGACATTGTCAAGAAATTGAATGATATCATCAGTGTAAGTGTTTCCTTGTCATTTCCAAGATTATTTCCATTTCAGTATCTAATTACCTATGAAATCAATATTTTTCTATACATCATCAACAGGAATTCTATTACATCACTAAGAAGATGGAGGGCAACATCCCATCGGCTTCAATGGTCCTTGCAAAATACCGACTCCTGCGGCAATACCTCAAGGGCAAGCTCAGCACCATCACCGAGGATGAATTCAAGAACATGATCAACACCAGGCTCAAAAAAATCGACACCTACTTCAACGAGGCTCTTGCATGCAATGCCATCCTTCTCGCCACAGCTCTCAACCCCAGCTACCGCCTCTCAATGATCCAGAAGTGGTACCCCTCAGCCTTCCCCCGCGCAAAATCCCTTCTGGAAGACCAATTCCAACAACGCAAACAGGCCCTCAATGACCAGGCAGCAAGAGATGAAGACACCCCGCCACCTGAAAAGAACACAACCCTGCCCCCTGGTGGTGGACTCGAGGAAGATGTCGACTTCTTTTCGGATGCTGCGCCAGAGACCTATGACGAACTGGCAGTGTACCTTGGGGGTAAGTATCGGCTGCCCTCTTCACAGGCTGCTGATTGCTTAACTTGGTGGAAGGTGGGTTCAAACTTTTCATAATTCAGGTTCTGAGTTTGTCATAAGAATCTGATTATTACCTTTTTCGATGAAATACAGCAATATTCAACAGAATTTCCAGTGGTGGCACTACTGGCCCGAGACTTCCTGGCCACAAGTGCTACGTCTGCAAGTGTGGAGCGATGTTTTTCAGCCACGGCGGACGTTTGCAGGCAAGATCGAGGCAACTTAGCTGCCAAAACAATCAAAAGATGTGTAAGTTCCCACCAATGGATCACTCAAGGGGTAAAGCCCAATGGCCCATTCCAGGCGGCCCAGGACATAATCTCTGCTACTCAGGCAGAATTGGAAGCAGCCAAGACAACCAAAAACCCTGTCACTTCGACCTCCGGTGTCAAAGGTTAATTTCACTATATCCTTTTTTTTCACCTATATTCACAGCCTCTACTCTCTAGGCTCTACCAACCCCCACTCAGTCTCCCAAATTTCATTTCACTCCACTTGAAAAAAATCCCTTGAAGAAAAAAAGTTGTATATTTCTTTACATTAAGTATGAAAATTATAAATAGTGATGAAAAAAAAATCTCAGGCTCTCCATTTTTAGCTTCAAAAATTTACATTCCTATTTTTATTTTCATAAAAGTTAAAAAAAAAAAAAACATGTATATATATAAATGCCCAAATTTTTTCTTTTAACCAAAAAAATGCCTTTTAAAATGATCCCACAGATACCGGATCGGTATCGGATCGGTATTGCGATGCGATACCAATCCCTAACCCTGCGATACTGCCTGCTGCGATCCGATACTCTGGGTATCGGATCGGGTGGGCGATCCAATACCCCTTTTTTCGATACCTGGTAACGAAAAATCAATCTGATCCGATAAATTGGCCGATACCATATCGGATCGGATCTGTTACATCGTTGCTAGCAGCTTAGCCTCCTTTGAGGTTCTTCAACCTGTTTTTCCCCCTCAAGACTTAAGTATTGAGTTGTTTGCTCTGGTCACTTTCCTTCCCACTTTCTGAGGCATCTACTTGAAGTTTCTTCAGGGGCTGCTGCCGTTTTTCTAACTGCGTCCCTATTAGATTTCATGTTGGCTCCTTGTGGCAGCCTTGGAGGGCGCAGTGGATGTGTGGGTGGATTCCACACAAAAATATGGAAGTTTAGCTGCTGGTCTGACCCTCTGCAGTGTTCACTTGTGCAATCCAAGGGCAAAGGTGTCAGACCATGTTGAACTGCACCCAAGGTGTATGGGATTGAAATAGTGGCAAGGCATACTCCACAAACCTTTCTGAATCCAAAATTCATCAACTCTATTCATGTAAAAATTTATTGATTACAATCTTCTACTCTTCCCAATCACAATATTTTCATGAATACAACTGAAATCAAATGTCCATTCTTTTACAACTCTATCAACCTGAACCAGTCTCATCATGAATTTGTAGCTTATTTCATTTTTTCCACCAAATTTTCATTCTATTCATTAATTGAATTAGAGCCAGAAAGTATCTAATTCTTATGGGGAAATGGAATAACTTCATTTGGATTACATTAAATTAAAAAATTTGTTGAGACACAGTAGGATTAGTGATTGATATGTATCTGTTTCCATAGGGGAAAAGACTTTGAACTAAGGCTCTGTTTGGCAGCAATATATTGCAAATTCTTGTGACATCTGATGAGGTTTTGGTGGACCTAATTGGATGTCACACAGGATGTCATACAAAAATAGCAACACATTGCTGGAATTATATTGCTGCCAAACAGGGCCTAAGTTATTTGCATGTCTATTTGAAGGGGGTTATGGTTTAGAAAGATCATCAAAATATATGCCAAAGGAAGGATGTTTCTCAAAAGGGTATTTGAATAAGGTCTTGTGAATGAATAGACTATAAGTTTTTATTTCATAAGCTCCTGCTAAGAAATACAGAATAGGAAGAACAAGAAGTATCATGAGAAATAATAGTCACCTAAAAGCAGTAGATGGCTAGTAAAAGAACAACAATGTATATGATACTATAATGAAGAATGACACAAGGAAATCTGACAAAGAAGAATGGGTCAATATCCAGACAGTGATGAAAAGAGGACAATGAGAACCTACGATGATCAAGGACAGTTTTTGGAGAAGAAGTGGTTGGCGATTTTGTCAAATAGAAGGGAACAATTTGATACAGTGATCAAAGAAGATAGAGGAGATGGGTGGTAAGGATAGGAGAGAATTGATTGATTCAATGATCAACAATGAAGAGTGATGATAAGAGACGAGATGAGACGTTTGTCTTAAGAGTGTAGTCAAGTTTAAAGTTGACGTTGACAATAAGAGAAGTGGTTGTGTTTGATTTAAGAAGATCATCATCAGAGTCGAGTAGAAAAGTTCAGCTATGGGGAAACAAGTGGGATGAGAAGGGTTCCTGAGGAGGAAGAATAATCGACTGGAGAGAAGAGATAATAAAGGAAAGAGGGAATCTAGTCAGCACACAATGGCAATGGCACAGGTGAATGGAGAAGGTTTAAGCGCAATGATGTCATTGCAAGAGCTTAATTAATTTGAGAGTTCAGGTGCAGTGATGTCATAAGTATTTTGATCTTGGGTAGAATAGTGGTCTAAAGGCTTAGGGAATTTATGTGCTGAAGCTTAGACCTCAACAGGTCTTGTAGCATCAATGATTTTGGATCTATTTTTTTCATCAAAAAAAAAACATTTTTTCTGAAGCCTTCCAGAAACAGCTCTCATGTGAGCTGGTTGAAATCTTGATTGTGTTGTCAATTTAGGACTGAGGGAGGTCTAAAAAGCATTCTAAATTGCAACGGGAAGTCCTCCATTCCAGTGTTGAGCATTGGAAGCAAAAGTCTCAGACATCTTGGTGACATGGTCATCTGTCCCTAGTAGTGATCTGTGACATCCACGATACACCTCGCGGACATGGGTGCCCATACAAACCAGGACATTGTCATCCAGCAATGTAATGACCACATTCTCTCACAACATCCAACATCCAACATCCAACACCCAACGCCATGGAAGGTGACAATAACGAGACGATAACTCAGTCGGATGCTGAAAAGATTCGACTCAAGAGACTCGCAAAGCTCCAATCACCACAGGCTGACTCAAACTTATCTCCCAAACCAAAAGAAGAGAAGGTATGTCTCGTCCTTTCTCCCTCCTTTCTTGGTCTATCAATTTACGGCAAGGGCTGATGTAGGCTTTAATCGTCAATTCAGGCTCATGCACGCCCCTCCCCGTCGCTGGTGTCGAAGTCATCTGGCTTCAAACAGCTTGAAAAACAACCAGCCTCGCGAACTGCTACCCCACAAACCGGATCCTCTTCTAATACCATTCCAAAGCCTTCTACATTGAGTCCAGAGGAGTTACGTCAATGGGAACATGGCATGATGACGAGAATCTTCAAGACAACATTAGATGTTAAGATCCATGCCGATCATCCTTCAAATATATAACAAATAAAAAGAGAATTATTCATGCTAATGCCTTTTTTTCTTTGCCTTTTTGTCTCGGGTTGCTTTAGAAAGAAGTTTTCGCCAAATACCAGGCGGATTTAGTTTATTTAGATGAATTTAGAAATGAAATAGAAGAGGAAGAACCTGGTAAGAACATCGTCCCGTCTTAGCATATCAAGAAACTGATGGTCGTCAATATTGTATATCGTCAATGTGCAGGTTCATCCAAGCTCCTCACAGTAGAGATTGCCGATCGCTTATTGATTGCTCGTTTATCTTTAAGCCCCTCGGATCCCTCGTCCTCTGAGCCATTCGTGGGGGCTAGCCAAGCCCAATTACGGAATGAGAGCGCTTTCGAATATCTGACCAAGAGTTGGATCCGTGCATTGGAAGAACGCTCTAAGGCCTTAGCTAGCAAGGCGTCTCCCTCAGATAAAATGCGGTTGATCGAGAAGGTCAAAGAACTCCTCGTCAGCTATATCGGTCTGGTCACTGTAGAGCCAAGCATGTTCCCAACCTCTGAAAATGCGAAATCCGGGACGGATGAGCTGGTCAATCTGTTCAGTAATCCTACCCCGTCAGATCCCATGATTCAGCACAAATGGACACTCATCCACGAGCTCGCAAATCGGTTTGATAATGATGGATTGGAAGATGTCATTGGACCTACCCTAGCTCGAATAGCAATGGACGTAAACCTCTTAACATCAAAATGGCACATCGGAGGGCATGAATGGAGGGTACCTGTTCGCACTGTTGAAGATTTGATGGAAGTCAAGCCAATCGCACGTATGGTACCTAATCTTCAAGCTTGGATGCCGATCGCCAACTCAAATGATAACGGAAGAAGAATCGAGTTCTTCTGGATGCTTGGACCCATCCTGTCACTATCCACTTTCCCTGACCGAGTGGTAATGCCCCTTTCTTATGTCTGTAACTCGTTGTAGTTTGGCTGATGATTTTGATCACGGTTTGATGCATTCAGCCAACTATTGCATCTGAATATTTCAGCAACTCCAAAGAAAGGCCTCAAGCTGATCTCGAATCAGCTACAAAAGGCCTACAGGCTACTCTAAATTCCTTACAGGTTCGCCATTTTTTTATCAATGTTTCTTCTTACTTTGTTCCTCACTAATGACCGGTTATTTTCTTAGTTGAGTCTGTTCAACATCTTTGATCGGATCGTGCGCTCTGGACCAGCTCCTCGTGAAGCCGTCCTTAAGCTATGGGCGCAAATCATACAGCTTAACAACAAGCGAGCGGCGATTCAGGTGGATAAGAACACGGTAGCTTCAGATGGGACGATTATCAATACGCAAGCCATTTTGTTGCAATTCGCCGCCCCTTTCTTAGACTCACAATACAGCAAGGTTTGCCTTTGAGGTTTACAAAGTTTGGACTATCTTCAATTCAATCATTTCGTCTCAAATCGTCTGTCATCTGACACATGTTTCTTGGGGACACACTATCGTAATCGATTCAGATTGACAAGGTTGACCCGTTGTACTTCAAGCGATCAACTCGATTGAACATCCGAGAAGAGACGAAAATCAACGCGACATTACAAGAATCCGAAGATTTTCTCGGATCATCCACCAATCCGGAGCCGGTAAATTTCATCAGCGAAATCTTCTTCCTCAACGTCGCCATCTTCCGTCTCGGTATCTTGACTATCGCCAAGAATTGGAACACAAAAGCTAGAGATATTGAGGATATGAAGAAAGAGTTGGTTCGTGCTGAAGCTGATCGACGCTGGGATGGGACACCCCATGAAGCTGCCCGGAAAGCCAGTTTGGAAAAATTCAAGGTCTCTCATTTTACTCACAATCTAGCTACAGGGGAAACAGAGTTCAGCGACTGATCAATATTTATTGATCTCTCAAATTTTTGACACTCCTTTCGAAGTAGAAAGAGATTTCGAAGCTGGAGTCTGAGCTAGTAGCTTACGAAGTTCAAATGTGTGACCCGGAATTTTTGAGTAAATGCAATAGCTTTTGTAGTTTTGTAATGACTTGGTGTATCAAGATGGTCGATCCTCTTCATCAGCATCCACGAGTTCCAATCAAGTCAGTAGATTTCTCTTTTCACTTTTATCTCGCTCTTGAAATTGATCTCATGCTCAACAAATGTCACACAGATTACCACTCCCGAATGAGTGCCCATTAGAGTTCCGAATGTTACCCGAATATGTCTTGGAAGACGTCATTGAGTTTTACTCCTTTATCTCCCGACACTCACCTGGAACACTTCTTCAGTCGGCCGCAGTGATCGACGAACTCTTAACTTTCACCCTCGTCTTCCTCACCACGCCTTACCTTAAAAACTACCATCTTAAATCCAAATTTATCGAGATCCTGTACTATAATACTTTGCCCATTTCAAACAGAAAGAATGGCATTCTCGGTGATTCGTTGGATTACCACCCTCTCGCTCTGGCCCATCTCATGCCTGCTCTGATGCAAATTTACGTGGGTAAGTCAGGTTTTTTTTCGTTATACGATGGAAGATAGCCCCTCTGAATCTGCCCTTTTATGTTGAAGAGGTGGAAATTACGGGTAGTCATACCCAATTCTATGATAAATGTGAGTCATTTCTCTTGTGATGATTCATCAATCTATTCTGACATCTGTTGATCTGGGGTTTCAGTCTACTCGCGAAGATGTAAGCTATTTTGTCTGTGTCTTGCAACCTATGTCGTGATGTTTACGCATATTTGGCATGAATTTTGCGCTTGGCTAGACATTGCATTGATACTCAGGAAAGTCTGGGACAATCAAACGCATCGGGCAGCTTTAAAGAAGGAGTCGTTAACGGAGTCGTTCATCCGATTTGCGAACTTATTGATGAACGATGTGACCTACCTTTTGGACGATACCCTGGGACAACTCCAAGAGGTCCATCGGATCGAAAGTCTGATGGCCGATCAGGAGGCTTGGCAAAGCCTCCCAGAAGCGGAACGGAAGGAAGAAGAAGGCAAGTTGTTGTCGTGCGAGCGACATTGTCCGAGCTTCCTGAGTCTCGCAAACGAAAATGTGAGAATGCTTAAGATTTTCACGGAGGAGACGCCGAATGCTTTCTTGAAATCGGAGATCGTCGTTCGATTGGCCGCCATGTTGGACTACAATCTCAATACATTAGCCGGCCCCAAATGTCAAACGCTGAAAGTCAAAGACCCTAAGAAATATAACTTCCAACCTAAGGACTTATTATCTGATTTATTACAAGTCTATTTGAATTTATGGGACCGAGGACCGTTTCATGAAGCTGTCGCAAACGATGGAAGAAGTTACACCAAAGAATTATTCGAAAGGGCTGATCGAATCGCGAGGAAGGCTAACTTGAAATCGTCTGATGATCTTGAGAAGTTGGCCAAGTTGGTTGAAAAGGTTGAAGAGTTGAGGCAGTTGGAAGCAGATGAAGAGTTGGAGTTGGGCGAAATTCCCGATGAATTTTTAGGTTGGTTGCTCATACCTGTTGCTTCGGGGATCTGATTTGATTTGATTTTAACTGAACTTTTTGGGTTTTGTGTTGAACCTTTCTAGATCCTTTGATGGCAACCTTGATGAAAGAACCGGTGATTTTACCCACTTCCAAAACGACGGTCGATTTGTCAACCATCAAACAACATTTCCTGAGCGATGCTACTGATCCTTTCAATCGAATGCCGTTGAAGATTGAAGATGTTATTCCTGGTTTGTCTTCCCATTCTACTCATCCAACCTTTTTTTCTGCTACCTCATCCCTTAAAATCTGTTCATCCTGTTTATTCATTTGCTCTTTCTTGTTCCAGATGTATCTCTCAAAGAGAAAATCGACGCTTGGGTCAAAGACAAGAAAAGCTCTAAAATGGAATTCTAAATCCTTCCTGACTGTATATCTATATATCGTTCATTTTTTTTCTTTGACATGTTATGAGTAGAGATTTGATGTAGGTAGAAAGATCACGTTGATTGCTAGTTATTAAACGATCGTTTTTTCCTCAAAGGTTGAGTTGATCAAACAAAATCATGTGTTCCTGGGGGGAAAGGGGATGGTAAAAAGCCCGTGTTTATAGGTTCACAATGTTTGATAGACGGTTGTGAGATGAGAATATGGTTGTGATGTCATGTGCCTGCGCTGCGTACTGCTACATAAGGCGAATGGGAGCATGGGTAACACCACGGTCATTTGCGTGTCGCCGCGGATGTAACCGTCACCTTGACGAATCCGCGTGCGTGACTGCGGCAGTAGGCGCAGTGACTGCGCACGAAACCCCCAATGAAACCCCCAGATGTCGCTCCGCGCGGGAGCGACATGCAATTGTCCGTGGTGTATAAACATGAAGTCCGAATTAGTATATCGGCTAGTATGACCGCCTCTCATGCGATGGTCGCGGTAGAGACGGGTTCGACTCCCGTATTCGGAATTCCTCTTTTAGCCTGATAGGCTATGTTTTGCTGGCCCAAAGGACAATCTTTTTCTCTTGTCCTGAGTCAACTGATGTGCAAGTTCCCATTGTGAACTGCCCTATTGGTGACCCAAGGCTGTACTTTGGACACACATGCATAACATGAAACAGCATGAAACTATTCTCATCTATCAGAAACAAGCATACCTCTCATGTATGTTTTTGAAAAAATTCATGTGCAAGTTTGCTAAAATTTGAAAGTTCCCAAGATGAACTGGGCAATTGGAGGACTTTTTGTGATCATCTAAAACTGCAAATTTAGAAGGAAGGGCTAAAGCTTATTTGGCTGGTGAAAATTGTTTGACCTCAAGATTCCCCA